CGCCGGGTGGGGGGCCCCAGGGCTGCTACTGCCACAAGGAACTGGAGACTAGAGTCCCTCGAGAGGTCGGAGGGACCCAGAGCCAGACCCGGAAATGAACTGGGGAGATGCAGAGACCGAGGATCTCTGAGGCACAGGAAATCAGCGAGGGAAAAGATGGAGTTGCTGGCAGTGGGTGAGGCCGACGCAGCCAGGGTGGGGCGGACAGGACTGCTTTAGAGCATAGTTACTAAGAGGAAACACCACTGACATCTGTGGGAATACCTGGCGTTTCCAAGGAGCTCTTTGCCTGTTCGTGCCTTTTAAACCTCATTTGGTTCTAGTCACACCCCTGGGCTGTAGGGCCTGTGTAGTTATTTTCTGTTTGTAAATGTGGAAACTGAGGCTCCGAGAACTTAACCAACTTGTCTTCTAACCTGAAATCCTAAGATCTTTTCTTCCATGCTACGCAGCCTCCCACACCCACGAAGATATTCCCAGGAAGAGTGCTCATGGGTAAGGTAGAGTCTCCTTGCCAGTCAGGAAAGCAAAAATGACGCTTCTGGGGGCCCTGGACAAAGGCAAGGGTAGGCAAGATGATAGAGCTGAGAACACGATCTGGGTCTGTCTGGGGATGCGCCTCTTCACCTTCCTTTTCCCCCAAGCTGTCCTGCTGGAGCTCTGGCGATCTCTCATGGGGAGGGTGAACCATATGCCTTCAGCCCCTTCATCCTTCCGCCCTCCTCCAAAGTTGACTGGGAGCCTAGAGGTCTGAGAGAGCTTCCTCTACTGGCCATCTCTTTGCTGACTAGAAGATGAACCTTTCCAGAACTACAAATCGGGAGGAGAAAAAAAAAAAATTCCAGGAGATCTGAGTAAACTGGGTCTTGAGTAATCACCAGCGTTTTAGTAATCTGTGATTAGTTAAATGGTACAGAAGCAACACGGACTTAGCCAACAAAACCCTAGTGCGTTGGAAATATGCAAAGCACCGTGCGGGATGCTACCAGGAAAAGATGACCAGGCTGGGCCTGGAACTTATATTCAGGGAGAGAACTGAGCTGGCCAGCGCCTCTAGCTTAGCCGGGTTCAGTATTCCAAGAGCCTGTCAGTGGGAGAGGAGGGACGGTCAGAAGGGGGCGGGAACAACACAGCATCGTTTCCCACTGTGAGTGCCAAAAAGATTCTGAAGGTGGAATCTGGATCTAGCAGGGAAGATGGGTAGTATTTATTAAGCTTCTTAGGACTGTAGCAAAATATTCTATTGTCGGTGTCAAACGCCAATAAGACAACAAATTTAGTTGCGATCTTAATTGGCTTTGCTTTGTGATTGGTGAATGGAGTAACAGCTCGTTGTGTGTAATAGACTGAGTGATCTGATGAGCAGCGTGGAAGAGCTTTTACTTTCTAGACAGAAAATGGCTGAAGAGGCATAATCAGCACAAAGAGAGCCTGGATCATTTCAAAGAGGTGAAACCAGAGCAGACTTCTTGTCTGTCAAGGCTGGCTTGTTCCAAAAGCCCACTCCTGCATATTCTCTCTCTTCCCCCTAATTGCTGGAAGATCAAGTGAATAACTTAGCGTGGCCTGGACTAGGGCTTAAATAAGAACACCTCTATTTTGATTGGGTCTTTTGGGGCTGATTGAGTGACCTCCTGTAAATTTTATTCAACAGCACATAGCCATCTTAAAGAAAGTGTTAGTTACTCCAGCATAAAGATGAGAAAACACACTTAGGGAATGAAACCATTGTAGCAAAAATGCTATTTGAGAGACACTTGGGGCATTGTCAGCTGTGTTCACACAAACCAGGTGGACAGCAAGGTTACTGGCCAACCTTCCATCCTTAAGCCTGCTCTCATTCCTCTAGCTCTCTTTAGGTCCTCCTCCTCCTCTTCTTCCTCCTCCTCCTCTTCCAGTACTGCTAATTAAGTCTAGGACTTCTCACATAGTAGGCAAGTATTTTACCACTATCCCATTCTTTCAGTTCTGCTCAATTGAAGTAATCATTTTACAACAAAATAAGTGTATGACTGATAATGTTTCTCATGCCAATAAACATTCATTTACAAGACTCACCCTCACTGTGTAGCTAAGGCTGGCCTTGAACTTATAATCCTCCTGCCCCAGCTTTCTGAGCTCAGATGGGGGTTACAGGTGCAAACCACTACACTGGCCTAATGTTCATTTTATTGTTGGAATAGAAATATATTAAATGAGCATGTTGGAATTGGTATAACCAATACTCTACTGTTAAACATTACTCACTGTCAGAGTCGTTTATAAAATGTTTTTACTCTTGTACCATTAGGAACAATGAGCATTTTGATAGACAAATCTTTACATGCATCCTTAATTATAGCCTTGGGAGAAATTCCTACAAGTACATTTGCTCAATCAAAAGACTGAGCATAATATCCTTAAGATATTTCAGGAAACTGTCATCAGCCCTTGACTCTTTAGGTTCCAATTTTCCCTTGCCTTTGGATGTCGTGGGACCCACCCATAACTGATTCCTTTTATCTAAAACTAAGGTCATCTCCCAAGTAGCTTACTGCCTCCGTGTTCTCTCAATCGGTGGAATGACTGGACCCAAACTCCATGAGTGGTGATCTGTCCATCTGTCTCTTCCTCCACATCCTCATTACTACCTTTGTCCAGATGGTCCCCTTCTTGCCTAGACAACTTCCAACTCACCCTCGTTTTTTGTGCTTTTTATCGGATCATTCCCCCACTGAAAACTGTGCATCCAACAGCATTCATCACCCACCACTTCCCATATCACCCAGCCCCCAGACTGCTCCACAAACCTCTGCAGACATTATCGGCTTCCCTCCACAGTCACCAGCGCCTGGGAGGAGCCCCCCTGCCACCCACACACACTTTGTAGACCAGGCTGGCCTGGAACTCACAGCGATCCACCTGCCTCTGCCTCTCGAGTGCTGAAATTAAAGGCGTGTGCCACCACCACCCAGCTAGGAAAGCCCTTGTTAATGCCCCTGTCTCTACCCCAAGGTTGGTAGGCACTCTCACCTCCTCTGCTCCCAGGGCACTTTGCTGGCATCTCTGTCGCATGGTATAGACATATTTACAGGCCGATTCCACATGCTGCAGAATTAGTATTGTTCCTCCTGTACCCAGTACCAAGGCTGGTCCCTGACAAATCATTGCCTAGTAATGAAGATGAAGAGGATGGGGCCTCAAGTGTGTGTGTGTGTGTGTGTGTGTGTGTGTGTGTGTGTGTGTAGGGGTCTCGTCATGATAGGTGGAGATTGGGTTGGCTCAGCGCAATACAGAGGAGTGGTTTTGAAGACAAAGAGGAGTGGAGATGGAGAGTTAGCACAGCAATTAACAGCATTTGTTGCAGCTGCCCAGAACCCAGGTTCAATTCCTAGCACCCACATGGTAGCTCACGACCTGATGTAACTTCAGTCCCAGGGGATTTGACACCTTCTTCTGACCTCCTTGGTCACCAAGCTCACCATGTACATTTTGTGCATGCAAACAAACTACTCAGACACAAAGTAATAAATCTTCAAAATTGTAAATAGAAGTAAGAAGGTAGGGCTATGGAGATACTTTCTGCTCAAAGCATAAGGACCTGAGTTTAGATTCCCAACACCCACCTAGAAGCCAGGTCTGTAAAACCAGCCAGCTTAGGCAAAACAGCAAGTTTATTAAGAGATGTTGTCCAAAAAATAAGAAGAAGATACAGAGCATAGAAACAGACATGGACATCAACCTCTGGCCTCTACAAATGTGTGCGCTGGTAGGGCACACACACTTCAATGACTAATTTACTAAAGAACTCCTGCATTCCAGGGCAGGAACATCTGGTGTCAGGCAGTAACGTCTGGCAACAAAAAAGGAAAACTCAAGACTATAGACACATCAGAAAGCTATTTCAGAGCAGCTATAGTTTGGGACAAGAAGTGACAGGGCAATGAGAATAATAACACTGGCTAGAAGATTCCAGGATTGTCCCCTGTGCTAGGGAGGAGTCCTTTTGATCAGGAGATAACTCAAGGAAAACAGTTCGTAAGGATGTTCAGGCTGTACTGAGAGGTAGAAAGGCCCCTGTCCTCAGGCAGGAGATTGGCCTAAGGCCTCTCTGGAATAAGTGCACATGTTGTCATTGGTAATTGCAATGGTGGAAGCTTCACCCCAGCCCCTGGCATCCATATACCCAAAGAGTCTGGTATGTTCTGGTGGAAATTCCACCCGAAGCCCCCTCCCCTATCTCCCTCCAAACCCTGCTGCATTGCAGAAAGCCTACCAAATGATGACCCATCCCCCAGAGATGCGCAAGACCACTCCCACAGGGTATTTAAACTGCCCCCCCCCAGAAAATAGACATGTCTCTCCCATCTCCTCTCTGGAGAGGCTGGAAGGCCATCCAGGAGCATTGTATCCATTAAACGTGGGCTTTTTCTAATTCGGTTTGATTTGATCTGATTTGGATTTCTGTATCGGCAGAGAGAATTATCGGGGTGCAGAAACTTTTCAGTAAAGTCATCCGTTATCTAGAGCACTAAAGGTCTTTGAGAGACCTATAACAGATTTGATCTGGCCATCTACCCCATCGTGTCTGTTACCCTCAAGGGCTGCATTCACACTACTCCAGGCTGCCCTTTTTGAAAAAAAAAAAAAATCTACTTTTGAAATCAGAATGTTGGAGCAAAAGTGTTTTAGAGTCTGCAGAAGTTCCTGTAGTACTGATAGTACTCTCCTACTTATAAACAGTTATGCCCACGCTGCTTAAAATCCCACTAGTAGACTGTCATACTTTGGGCTAACAATCACAAAAAAAAATGAATGCAGAAAAATCCAGACACAGAAAGTAGACTAGTGGTTTTTGAGGCCTAGGGAAGAAGAGGAATAGAGATGGCAGCTAGACTTAGGGGATGAACATGTTTTAAAATTAGATTATGGTGATGATTGCATGACCATAGCTATACTAAACCATTAGATTACAGAGTGTGGTCTCTGGGGAGACGGCTCAGCAGGTCAAGTTCTGGCTGCTCAGACATGGGGATCGGAGTTCAATCTCCAGTACCCACATTCATGCTGGGTGTGGTGGGACATGTAACTTTGTGACTGGGGTTCACTCCATGGTGTGGAAGTTCTATCTCAGGGGCTGGAGAGACGCAGTAAACAGTACTCACTGCTCTTCCAGAGAACTAGTTTATTTCCCAGTACCCACATCAGACAGCTCACAATCCACTTATAACTCCAATATCAGGAGATCTAATGTCCACTTCTGGCCTCCTAAGGCACTTGTATTCAAGTGTGCATGTACACACATGCACATACACACTCGCACACATACATGAGAATAACTCTTGAAAGTTATATCTCAATATAGTAGTTAAAAAATAGGTACAGCCGAACGGTGGTGGCAAATGTCTTTAATCCCAGCACTGGGGAGGTAGAGGCAGGAGGACAGAGGCCAGCCTGGTCTATAGAGTGAGTTCCAGGTCAACCAGGGCTATACACCCTGTCTTGAAAAACCAAAAACAACAACTAAAACTAAATAAATGACTATAAATGCAAGTGTTCTTAATAGGTTGGCTGTGGGTATGAAAAAGCATAAGCAAGTCAGTGTGAATGGGTGTTATCAGCGCATGCCCTGCCCGAAAAAGCCATTAATACTTAGGAGTAGGGATCAGGTAGGAAAAGGAAGAAGAGAAGGCTCAGAGGCACGTAAAACCATAGTACGGGAAAGCAATGGGTAGGTGAGTACAGGAATGAAAAGCCCTTAGGGACTTAGGGTCGAAAATTAATTTTCCCAGGCCAA